GCGTGTTACTTACCACCTAATCAGCACAAAGACCCCCATTTTATTTGAGTTTTCCAATGCAAAGATAGTTTCACTTGTAGAGAGTGCTATAACATATTTCTTGTATCTTACCAGATTGAACTACCTAATGTAAGACAAAGTCGTCTGCTGTTTGAGCCCCACCCTCAAAAAGTGTAAGCCAATCTGGCCATTTCAGGGATTTCACTCTCCTACCTTTTCTGCACACTGGAATAGTTATGACAGATATTAAGGGTTCTGCATATAACTGTATGCACCACCTTGCGAATGATACAGTCTAGTTTGATAGGTTTGATCCTTTAATGGACATCAAAAGAATCACGCGGCAGCGTGACGGTAAAACTGACCGGCTTTGAAGTTCGATGTCGCTCCTCTGTTATCTTTAAAAGACATGTATCAGCCTTGCGATTGGTCAGTTTCGTTTGCCGGAAACCAGTCGGATATAGCTAATCACATGCCTTCATCTTTGTCATGTCATTATACCAGGGGTGCATAGAACGTACAAATGTGTCTGAACGTTACCCCTAGAATGTCCAGGATACTTGTTGTTTGAACCACTCTACACAAAGTTTATATCAGTTGTTTGAACCACTATACACAAAGTTTATATCAGTTGTTTGAACCACTATACACAAAGTTTATATCAGTTGTTTCAACACATATGTACCCCTTTTTTGTTTGGGGTAACAACAGTAGTAGATTAGTGTGTTGTTTGTGTTATTTACACATATATATCAACTGTTGTTTTAGTAGCTAAGCACACAGTTCATCCCTTGTTTGAACTGATAAACACCAATAAATCTATTCGCCCGTTGTTTTTAGCTAAACAACAGAAATATACATGTGCCTGCTGCTTGTAGTATGGCACAAAAACAGTCACCAGTTATAGTTACTCAACGCAAGGACAGTGTCGCATGTTGTTTGAGCTACTGAACGTAGAGTCGCTTTATTGAGCTACTCTGCTCAAATGTAGACCTCTGCTGTTTGAGCTTCAAAACATAAGTCACCTAGCTGATGTTTTAGATATTCGGCCAAAAGATAGGCTTGTCATCTATTTACTACACAGAGTCGTTTATTCATGCCACGAAACAAATGAAGAATCATTTCTTGTTTAAGCTTCTCCACATAAAGTTTAGGGTCACATACTTCTTGACCTACGAAAAAAAAACCAATCCCTTTTGTTTGTCGAAAAGAGGTTGTTAGATTCACAAAACACCAACATAATCGTCTCCTGTATGGTTGTTTGAGCTGCACAACATACAAACATACAAATATATTGAGTCGTCTGTAGTTTGAGCTACCAAACAAATAAATTCATCGGTCTGAGCAGCTCAATACACACATAGTGTCCTACTAAACACAAAGCAAGCTTTACCTATTGTTGGAGTTGTATTTCCTTTCAGTTCATCAATATAAATATTGTTTCCTGTTGTTTCAGTTATAGTCAACGTATATATTGACTGGCTTTCTGTAATTTGTCCCACGAAACAATCCTCGATACTCCAGAGATTACACTCATTTACCTTAAGGCGTCTGGCATTCTGCTACCACTAGCCCTCCACCACTGGGTCGCAGGTTCGAGGCCTACGTGGGGCAGTCGCAAGATAATGGCCGTAGGTCTGTGGATTTTTTTCCCGGAAACTCCGGCTTGTCTTGACTCCACCAAAATCTAGCACGTCCTTAAATTACCATAGCTGTTATTAGAACATAAAACACAAACAAACCAAACCAAACGTTTGCAAAAATAAGGTAATGAAAATGGTATTTGGACGCCTTTTTCAAAAATGGTTCACATCGAACTTGTCTTTTCTAACCAATCTAAATGCTATAAAATGACGTATATTCTCTGTAAGGTTCATTTAATACTGCATATACCTAGATCATGTGGAGCTTAATATGTCTTTTACTTTTGCTATAGGGAGGCATATAGGCTTCAGATCAAAATAAGTATGGCCATTCGACATCTCAAGAACCATAGTAAAATTCCCCGGTGATATATATTAGAACCACTATAAGTTAACCTCTGCCATACAGAGCCATGTCCCGCAGAAGACCAGCAGGTCTAAATTCACAAACCCTTGGGCAAATGGAAAAATAAACAGACTGTCAAGGCAAAAACGACGGTCCTATAATAAGGCAGAGCAAACTAAAAAAACATCAGACTGTGCTAGATATAGATCAATCAAAGCCAATATTCAAAAAGAAACTAGATGGGCTTACAGTAAATATATGCTAGACATAATCAGCCCTGAGTTGAAGGAAAAACCGAAAAGGTTTTGGAGTTTCATAAATAGTAAAAAGTCTGATTGTAATAACATTCCTCCTATCAAAAATCCCGAGGATGGAATAACTTACTCAGACCCTAAAACCAAAGCTCATCTCCTGAACCACCAGTTTCACTCAGTATTTACTCAAGAACAGCTATCTAATTTTCCCCATACCAAAGTATGCCTGACATTACTGTTGGTGAGACAGGCGTCTTTTAACTTCTATCTGATCTACAGACTCACGAAAATTCTTAAATGCCTCGCAAGGGAAATAACTCCTGTATTAACAAAAATATTTCAATCATCCCTGGACAGGGGCACTGTTCCTCTTGATTGGCGCGAGGCAAACATAATCCCTATATATAAGAAAGGCGATAAACACTCTGTCGAAAACTACCGTCCTGTTTCCTTAACATCCATAACATGTAAACTCCTCGAACATATCATTCACAGAAGCATCATGAAACACCTAGACAGGAACAAAATTCTAACAAATGTTCAACATGGTTTTCGTTCTAAGCACTCTACCGAAACTCAAATTATTTTAACTATTGATGACTTAGCCAGAAACATAGATACAAACAAACAGACAGATATTGCACTTTTAGATTTCTCAAAGGCCTTTGACAAAGTTCCCCATCAAAGGCTACTATCTAAACTTACTTATTGTGGTATAAATAGACAAACATGTTTTTGGATATCTCAGTTTTTGAATTCTAGATCCCAAAAAGTCTTGCTAAATGGAATAGAATCGGATAGCTGTCCTGTCCTCTCGGGGGTCCCTCGGGGGACAGTCCTCGGCCCTCTACTATTTTTGGTGTACATAAATGATATTGTAGACTCAGTTTCATGTAATATAAAACTATATGCTGATGACTGTCTATTATATACACAAATAGACTCTATTGAAGAATGTGCTAAGTTGAACAGTGACCTTAAGTCTTTAGAAAAATGGGAAGAAAAGTGGCAAATGAAGTTAAACTCCAGTAAATGTTCTATTATTAATGTATCGATAAAAAGAAACATCATTAATTATAATTATACCCTTCATAATCAGATTTTAGAAAGTGTAGATACTAACAAATATCTTGGTGTCACTTTCAGTTCAGGCCTAACTTGGGGCAAACACATTCAATCAGTGACCAACAAGGCCAATTAGACATTGGGCTTCCTACGTCGAAATACATCTTCATGTACTAGGAAGTTAAATCACAGGCATACACTATTCTTGTAGGACCAGTTTTAGAGTATGCCTCAACTTGTCGGGACCCCTATTCCATAAACCACATACAACAATTAGACAATGTACAACGTAGAGTAGCGAGATACACTTTTAACTTGAGTACAGGTCTGTAGATCCAGGCTGTATTACAAACATGACGAAATCAATAGATTGGGAATATTTATCACAAAGAAGGGCAAAAGCTAGATTGTCAATGCTATACAAGATCTCGCATAACATCGTTAAAATTAACCCATCATCATACTGGACATCAGGTGACAGACGAACAAGGGGGGCACATAAAATAAACACAATATCTACCGAAAAAGACGCCTACAAATTCTCTTTTTTCCCCAAGAACTATTATCACCTGGAACTCATTACCAACATCACTGGCCCTTAGTGAGGAATTACCTTCTGTCAAATCCTCACTTGAAGGTTACCACCAGTCTCTTTACTAATTTTACATCCTCGTTATATGTACATAGTTTTAATATAATACCTAAAAATTACAAAAAAAAATATCTTTGAAATGCCACCTCCTTGAGTCAATTGCACTCCGACCTTGGAGTCCTGATCCTTGTAATGTAAGGGAAAGATATTTTAACAGATTGTGAAAAAAAACCGAAAGTCTTCTGAGTCACCTAGATCGGTAAATGAAGTTTTTAGTTGCTGAATCATTTCATGAATTTTTCTGGTGTAAATGAATAAAAAATCGCCTCGCTCGTTTAAAAATTGGTGACAAGAATTTAGTATTAATAAGTGCACAATTACGCCCGCTAAATTCCTTTCAAATCCAATTAGCAAATGGAAATCAAGCTTTTAAAAACATATATACTGTATTATCAAATATACATTAGATCCCCCCACCTACAATAATATTATACATACATAAACGACTAACAAACAAATAAAAGACAAGCAACAAAAACGTTTGACGATAGACAAATGAGGCACGAGAACTTGAATCTGTGCTACATGAACATGTACTTACAATTAATTGTACACGGAATTAGATTGCTATGTATATTGCTATGTGCTTGTACTCGTATCATTTTGTATCATTTCTTCAAAAAAATGTTTGAAATTTTACTTCAAAAGTATAATTTAGGACATTTCCCCCTGGCTGAAGTCTGTTTGCGATACACCACTTTGGCAGATACTTATAAACATCATAATCTGAAGTGATTTGGTATGACACCTACTCTATATACAGATAACGAGAGCTCAAACACTAGCGCATGGTCACCGATAAAACCAGGGTATTTTTCTCATTGCGCACCAAGCCCACGTACGCGTATGTATGTACGTGTGTATATTAGTAACATTTACTGCCTCTTGACAAGCGTTGCTAGTCTGTGCTTAACTTTCGTATCAGGGCCCCACTCATAGGTTGATTCATATAATTACTCCTTTTTATCTTATAACTATTACTCAAGAATTGTTTAGTCATACTGTTCTATTTATAGATACACGTTATCAACGACTCCATGACGATGTCAGCATTACGCAAGTCCAAACTACTCGGCTGACGTCACCCCTAACTTTGATCCGATGACTACATAGCGGCCGGATGTCGACAGCTTGTGGACGAGTCCACTATTGCTATGGGTAACCGCGTCGACAAAAATGTCTGTTTACTTTCGGTTTTGGACTTCCTGAACATCAGATGTTTTAAGTTATACAAGTCTTCCTAATTAACACAGAGTTTATTTCCTTTATATTCTAAAATGAACATGTTAATATTCTTACGTTGCGTAAGACGGGATGTGACAATGTTGCGTAGATCCCTTTGTTTGACCTCACACTAACAGTGACGTCACTGGGAAATAGAAACACGAATTGACTTGGCGAAGGCAGGTGCTCGTTCGTTGTGTTTTGACGTCTTTGTTATTTACAAACGATGGATCACTTCAGGACCGATTCGGACGATGATGACAGCGTCATGGGGACTGAACACGAACCCGAAGTGGTCACTGCCATACTCTATTTGAAGGAATACGCGTCCACGAAAGGGCACAGTGTTCATAGCATTTCTCAAATGCCGCCCGAACAATTAGCTGATTACCTGAAAGATTTCTACACGACAGTGAAATTCAAGGGAATTGAAGTCAAAGATCTCGCTTCTTCTCCGATTGTGTCTTTAAAATACCTGCGAACTGGTTTGCACAGGTATTTCCAAAGGAATTATGATATTGATATTCTGAAAGACGTTTATTTTGAACATGCGAACAAGGTGTTTGATGTCACTTCGCGTGCGACACCAAGGCGCTCGAACAAACTCCGAATTGAATTCGACGATTTGAGGAAAATTTACATGGGGCCAGGGATGAACCTGGACCAGCCAGATACCTTACAAAACAAACTTTTCTTTGATGTGAATCTGTACATTTGTAACAGAGGAAAAGATTTCCTGCGTGTTATGGCAAAAGACGATTTTGTCATTTCTAGTGATGCTGATGGCCGGCGCTATGTTTGGCTAAAGTACCATCCCAAGTTCAGTTTCCGGGAGTTAGTGGGCGGGGTCGCTGATCCCGACCTCAGCAATAATGGGACCCAGATAGGGGACCGAATGTTTGAAAGGAAAGGTAACTGTCAACTTGTGGTTGTGTTTTGTGTTAAACCCATGAAATCAGATCCAGTACCACACAACTAACTGACATTTATGAAATATTATTCAAATGTTATACATTTTGTTTTGGTTGAGTTATGCATTTGACAAATAGTGTTATACATTTGGGTTATGATTGGATGCCCAGGCCCTGGGGACATTTTGGGATGACAGTCCTTCCTGTTGACACTGCATGTCTAGCTGAGGCCAGAAAATATAAGATATAATTGATTCTATAGTGATTAAAGGGTTTTGTTTAGCATTCTCGTCCTAGGTTGGTGAATCGCGAGTATCAGAATTTTCAACAGACTGAATGCTATCAGTGGCTTTTTGAGGTATGATAGTAAAATGATAAATCATTCCGGCAAAAAAAGAGCTACGTTTTACATTAAGCGGGTGTAACACATGCGCTTATACATGTACTTTAATATGTATGAAGGTTTTTGGTGTTGATATAAAACTTTTTTTTTTTGAAATGATGAAAAAATAAATTGACATAATTAATATACTCGTAAAAGTAAGAACAAGACAAATTCAAAACAGAAATTATAAATCACCAAATATGATTCATGTGGACATTTTTTGAGACACAGGTTCGGAATAGGAAAAGGTCTATGGCAAATTTTGTTAGAATTTTTCAGAATTTGAAATTACAATAGGAAATATTCAAAGGAAATTGAAAAAAAAAGTGGTTTTTTTTAATGTCCTCATCTTTTCTGTATTTATGATTTTTTTTTGGAATATGTTGTCATAAAATTTAAACATGTGTGGTTTTTTTGGTTAAATTGGCTGATATTTCCTGCATAGTGGAACCTGTGTGATTCAACATGTACACCATGTGGGATCTACAACGAAATGTGTGTGATCTGTTTGGGTCAATAGAAACCTGTTCAATCTGACAATGAGGTCTTGAGTGATTTCATCCCATGTGGGGTCAATAATTGACCTTTTTAATCCTACATCAGGCTGTATATATATATGCATGATGTCCAACAAATATAAAGGGGTGCCAGAATATACAGGTTTTATTTGTCAGTTTGTACAAAAAGATGGGGTGGCCACTGTATATTCAAGGGTCTAATTAGACAGGTTCTGCTGTTTCAAATTTAAAAAAAATAAAATAAAAAAATATTCAGTTGATTACAAATCAGTTGGTTACAGATAATGTGCATCATATTTCTCTGATTGGTTTACATTTAATATCATGTATAACTTTATTATTATTATACAATTTCTTTTTTATTTTAAAGATTTTACCCTGTAAGTTAAAGTACTATTCTTATTGAACAAAAAATAATTCTGAATAATTGCTGTTTGCTATATATATGTAATAACTATGAACATTGATGTGAATATTGTTATTACCCAGTATATTGTGATGACCTACTTTTGAAGGGGATCCAAGATGTCCGGTCACCTCATTCCTGGCGTACTTATCCCACCTCCATCCGATGACCGAAGCATTCTGGCAGCGTCCAAAGCGGAGTTTTGTTTACGCCGACTATGTTTGGTATGACAACACCCCGTTGGGGAACAGCACTCTCAGCAAAATCATGACACGGGTTTGCCAGTCTGCTGGTCTGTTCGAAAACTACACAAATCATGCTATTAAAAGTTCATACATTCCTGTCATCCAAAACTTATGCAAAATGGACGGAAAGAAGGGTTGTTTACACCCAGAAGTCACAGAGCCCAGATCGACTGCGTCTCCCTTGGCGACTTGTAGTCAGGGGATTCGGGATGTGGATGACGGGATGACCGACTCGGGGTCAGTTTGTTCTGATGTCAAGGACACTGAACCAGATGACCACACAATAGGTAAATCAGTGATAAATTGAACAAATGAAAAATATAGTAAAATTAATGTTTCTGTTCTCATTGATACCATACTACTGTCCCTCTCTTCTTGTACTGTTGTTACGTTGAAACATTTAATGTTTTTGAAATGAAAAATATTGGTATGTACTATTATCTATATAATCCTTTGGGGTTTTTTCAAATTACAAACGTGTATGCCAACAGAGTTGTCTTCCCTTGTTTTTAAAGAAATTTTCTTTTACAAATAAAGTTTATACAGTTGTAATAAAGATACATATTTTAACTAACCATCAGCTTACATACATTTATGAACATATTTAGTTTTCAGAATGTTAATTTAACAATTGTGCATACATAATGCCATAAAAAGTATTGCCCTAACTATGCATGTACATGTACCCACTATAAATATTTCAGATGAAATCTTAAACAGTTGGGTTTTGATCTAATCTTTATATGATTTAGAAAATCGAAATAACTGGTTATTTTTATTGTATAAAACCAGGTCTACAACAGGCCAAGATGAAGGTCCTGGAGATGGTGCACGGCCTAGGAGTTAAAGACATCAGGTCATTCGTTGATTGGATGAAAACATTTCGCGCAGAGAAGGATGGAGGAGGTGTGTTGAATGACAGTGAAATGTACACAAAGTTACAACCTGACTTGAGTTGCAACTTCAAACTCTTAAATTAGTTTTTTTGTTTTTGTTGATCGTTGTATTGATTAACTAACTGGCCTTTGTATTTGGTAAAAGTCTGTTCTAAAAGAACATGAGGGTGCACAATAAAAAAAAATCAAATTATTGGAATATTTAAATGTGTCACAAGTAGATCATATTTCAGATTTCAGAAACAGGTATTTTTCTGTATTTGGAAATTGGTAGAAACAATCCCAAATAAAAGACTATCCTATCATGCTGAATGACTGCACAAGCTATCCATTATCATGTGGATACATGTATAGAATACATTTCAGAAGATTAAAAGCCACAAAATCGCAGATTTCATCAGAGACAGATGTCCTAGCTACTATTGCCAGTGGCTATGGTATCCCTCTTAGATTCTTAAACTATATCACCAAGCAACCTAGACTGGCCCCTGTCTCTATAATATTGAATCATTTAGAAAAAATCATCTAAATGACAATTTTGATCACTTGGATGTCTGATCTTAAGTTCTAAACTAAGGGGAGATAAGCTAGTAGTAAAATGCAGTTGAGAAATTCTACATAAAAACTTAGGGACTGGTAGCCAGTCTATAAGCGACCCTGAAAATCAAGTTTCTGGAATTTGCATTTACATCGCCCCTGTCGTAATTTGTACTTTAAAAAAACAACAGGGAACCCCTAAATTTTTGGAATGGCCTTCAACATCACCAGATCTGTCCTCAAATTGCAGCAAAAGAGAAACATTTTATAAAAAGGTGGTTTCAGTGGTATTTAAGACTGCAAAAGGCGATAACTGGTGAATGAAATTTGTTGATTTTTGTTTTGAATTGACAATTTTTTCAGTCTTTTTCGTTATTTTTGAAATGTGCAATTTTTTCACCACATATTTTTTTTTTATTATTTTCTTCTGAAAACAATGCAAAGTTTCATTAAAATGCTCTCTTGTAGGGTTAAGTTTCCACTGGTGTTGTGTTTGATAAATATTTTAACAACATGTGTTTTTCTGTTTCTCTTTGAGCCTTTAAAACAGTAACAAGCTTTGTTGTAAGTGTTAGAGGTCATGAATTCAAAGTACAAGATTACACAAAATTCTTTGATATTTATCTTTGTTAAAAAAAAATCTGTTATTTTATTTACCTGTGATATGATATGAAAATCATACTCCAAGTCTTTCTCATTCCATCCAAGTTATATGAAACTGTTTTATTTCTAGTGGTCCCTTTTATTTGTCTCTCCTGGTCTTGACCAATGATAAATATAAAGTCAAAACAGTATATTCAGGTTTTCGGGAAACAAGCTTATAAAAATCAATGGGTAAATTTAAAATGGTTGTAACTTTCTGAAAGGATTGATGCTGATTAGAAGATAGTATGTGTCCTCAATATTTTCTGAAAATCAGTTTTACTCATTCACCCCTGAAATTTCATAATGAACTATTCCAACCATTGAGTTGGAAGCGTTCAAATGTTTCTTCAGGGGTGAATGAGTTAAGATCAGCATTGGTAAAGGTAAAGAGGCAAAGGTCACCTTTAACCAATTTCAAAAGTTTCTCAAAAAAACCTCCACTGATTTAGTTTGTTTAGATTTTAACTATGGTATGACAGCGTGGATTTCTACACCTGAAAAAAAAAGCTTAGTGAACATTAGGCAAGGTTGAATGGGGAAAACTTCACTTATTTATAAAGGGGGTATATCTATGTTCTTTTTCTTTTACTTTTAATTTTTAATCCAACATTTTTAATTTAGCCTCCAATTAATCAAACTGCTAATTTTCCTGTTTTGTTTTATGTAGTTGACAAGGTATCATATCTGTTTTCCAGGTTTGGTTGTGTTGTGTAGCCCTGTAGATCAAACTGTTCAGGAAACTAACTCAAGGACAGGAAGTAGTCTCACAAAGGGGAGTAACTCTTTTAAACTATCAAATGGCAGTGGCAGCCGAAGTGGGTCTCCTGCTGGCACCCCACCTGTCCACAGGCAGCGTGAACCATCCCCAGCTCCACTCTCAACCCCTCGACTTGATGTTTGTCGGACTCCCAAAGACGGGAAACCGGAAGGTGCTGCAGCTGTCAGTGACTTGGGTATCGCCATCAGACAGCTTGACTTTGATAGTATCGGAGATACGTATGTGTCCACTTCGGAGATATATCCGGTCAAGGTTACCATTCCATGTGGGGACACTGTTCTGCTGAACGGTCTGAGAGACAGTGACCAGATTCTTATTCACAATCGGGAAGGTGCACCCCCCATGTCCGAATCTGTGCATTCTCGCATCTTTTATTCTCAACATGAAATGGATGTTGCTGTTGTCACTGCACTCCTCAGCACTCGGAACAGCCTTAAAAAAAGTGGTCACAGGTCTTCATCAGGATGTGAAAAGTCCGAAAACTGTTCAAAAATTGAAGATAAGTACAAGCCCATGAAAAAGAGAAGCCTGTCCGATCTGCACGCTGATTGTTCTAAAGAGGATTTTGAGTTTCAACCGAACAAGAGACAATTGATCTCTAGCAGTCTTACGACTGCCAACTTGCCGGTATCGCGAGTATCGGCCACCACCAGCTATCCTCCTGTGATCTCAAACGTTCCGGTGTTAAGTTACATTTCCAGAGGAATAGGGATTCCGCAGACACAACGGGAGACCAGGCAAATGTCTCTCCTGGCGAACAAAATAACTCCAACTAATAACTTCAGAATAAAGACCGAGCCCGTTGATAAATAACTATGGGTCCATATATTGTTTTGTATTTGATATGTTGTAATACATGTAATGTTTATATCATGATGATACCGGTGTGTATGTTGTTTTTAATAAAGTAGGATTTAAATGTTTTTTGTTTTCTTTTTGTTTGTGGTTTTAAATGGAATGCCTTATTGAATCAAAACCATCATATTTACAGGGGCTTTTTTCTTACAAAAATCTTGGCTTTACACTTTACCTACTTGGCATGATTTCAGAGAATGTTTGAGCTTTAGCAAGATAAGAAATAGTTTCAAACCGAGCAATTCTCTCTTTTTGACAGGACGTATTATGGTATGGGAAGTTCTTGGAGCAAGAGCCTTTAAATTTAAAGTACAACACTTCATTGAAACCTGTCTAATCTGACACCCTGTCAGACACAGCATAATTATAATTTAACCTGTCTAATTTGACATCTTGTAAGACACGACACATTGGTAATGTAACCCGTCTAATCTGACACCTTGTCAGACATAACACATTGGTCATTTAACCTGTCTTATCTGACACCCTGTCAGACAACATTGGATTGTCATTTAACCTGTCTAATCTGACATCCTGTAAGAGGCAACACATTGGTAGTTTAACCTGTCTAATATGACACCCTGTCAGACACAACACATTAGTCATTTAATCTGTCAGACAACATATTGGATTGTCATTTAACCTGTCTAAGCTGACACCCTGTAAGACAACACATTGGTAATTTAACCTGTCTAAGCTGACACCCTGTCGGACACAACATAATGGTCAGATAAGAGAAGTTATTGGAGTATACATGTTTTATTAGGTAGTTTTCTGTAGAAACAATATTATGGCACCTTGCTGGATAAGACTTGAACTCAGAATAATCAGGGATCAGACACACTTGTAGGACTGGTGTCAATATATATAAGTGTTTGCTATATATATTTATAACAGGTTGTTCACAGCTTCAGTAGTAAGACCCACAGGGGCATGGCACAGATCCAAACCACACAGTCTGAATATACATATTTATACTGGCCTGTCGCTTCTAGAATATTTCATTATTTAGAAGAAAAAAAAGAATTCTTAATTTTCGTTTATAATAATCACTTGGATGTCTGATTCTAGTTCTCAAACTAGGGGGAGAAATGCAGTTGGTTAATTCTTCATAAAAACTAAGGGTTTGGTAGCCAATCTAATATGTATTATAAACCGTAGGGTTTGGGGTCTGTCACACTCCTGTAGTAGGTCTTGGTTGGATTTTCATGGGTTTCATCTCTATTAACGGTTTGGTGTTGACAGATAAGTTATATTGTGCTCAATACATGTACATGTATGTACCATTGTTTATCTTCAATACAACAGCCATATACATGTTCGTTTTTGAGGTCAAGACACTTTAGAAGCATGTTTTTTCATGAGTTACCTCCCTTTGAGTAGAAATTGTATAAAGCTGCATGTATAAATCAAATATGTTTTATTTACAACCATTAAATTGTGACAAAATACTGTATGACATTATTTCACTTGGATATCATCAAAACAAAACTAAAACATGAGCTAAAATAATGAAACAACAGTTATGAACAGTAATGAATGTCTGGGGATCTATTGGTAAAAGGAAATACATGTACAATTGAATGGATGATTTTTAAAAGTTATGGGAGATAACTCTACAGTGTTGCACAGAATTCTTCAGTAAATTAAAAAAAATGTATTTGACTTTTCAATAAACATACTATTATTTCTAAAACAAACTACCAAATTAATAATGGCTATTTTTTAATGCCTAATGTAGAAGAGTTGCAATCAAATTAAATTTCTATCTACAAACAAACCTTTATTGCCAACACTGCTGTTCCTTAGCAACCAACACTGATGTTCCCTAGCAACCAACATTGCTGTTACCTAACAACCAACACTTCTGTTCCTTAACAACCAACACTGCTGTTCCTTAACAACCAACACTGCTGTTCCCTAGCAACCAACACTGCTGTACCCTAACAACCAACACTGCTGTTCCCTAACAACCAACACTGCTGTACCCTAACAACCAACACTGCTGTGCCCTACTAACCAACACTGCTGTGCCCTACTAATCAACACTGCTGTACCCTAACAACCAACACTGCTGTTCCTTATCAACCAACACTGCTGTGCCCTAACAACCAACACTGCTGTTCCCTAACAACCAACACTGCTGTGCCCTACTAACCAGCACTGCTGTGCCCTACTAATCAACACTGCTGTACCCTAACAACCAACACTGCTGTTCCCTAACAACCAACACTGCTGTTCCTTAACAACCAACACTGCTGTGCCCTACTAACCAACACTGCTGTAACCTACTAATCAACACTGCTGTACCCTAACAACCAACACTGCTGTTCCCTAACAACCAACACTGCTGTTCCTTAACAACCAACAATGCTGTGCCCTACTAACCAACACTGCTGTGCCCTACTAATCAACACTGCGGTACCCTAACAACCAACACTGCTGTACCCTAACAACCAACACTGCTGTTCCCTAACAACCAACACTGCTGTACCCTAACAACCAACACTGCTGTGCCCTACTAACCAACACTGCTGTTCCCTACTAACCAACACTGCTGTACCCTAACAACCAACACTGCTGTTCCCTTGCAAACAAGACTGCTGTTACCTAACAACCAACACTTCTGTTCCCTAACAACCATCACTGCTGTACCCTACCAACCAACACTGCTGTTCCCTAGCAACCAACACCTTTGTTCCCTAACAATCAACACCGCTGCTCCTTAACATCCAAGTAATCTGTCTCCTACCAACCAATTCTCCATGTTCCTCTTAAGCATGAATTTTTACAAAATACAATTATATGAAACAGAGAGGCTAGATGAATGTTCTGAAATACGAAAATTAACATGTATGCTTCCTTACACCTTAATTTATATTAGAGTTATCCCCCTTACTTTATTTGTAGGGATTACCTGAGTGTTGTCAATGCAGGTATCATTTCGAATCTTTAAAAAGCATAAATGTTTAGTCAACAAAGTTAAATTACTATTAATATAATATATCTTTTAGGTTTGGTAGTGAGGAACTCTTTGGATAAGAGATATATGTGTCATAACAAGGTATCATGCGTCCTTAATTTAACTGGAAAGGTTGGTTTTTCGGTACAAATTATACACCAAAAAGATATAACAAAATACATTTTGTAAATAACACGTTCCTGTTCTAAATAATTAGATTTGTAACTTTAAAATAACAATGAATCCATCATGTAAGTACAAATATTCACACAATCAGTTTTAGAGCAAGACCTTTGCTGTAAATTGATCTGGTGACATTTGCAATGTCAAAATTGGGGGAATTAAATAACATAAAACGTAGGCCAATGACAGAATGGCATTTCATACGAAAATATCATACTTCTCAGATCTATTTCATCTGAACATTGTTTGAAATTGGGCAACCTTTGCAATGATTGCTTGCCTAAAAAAATATCAAAAATGGACAAATAAATAAACGAAAGAAAAACACGAATATCGTGAGAGAAGGATCCCCTGGGTCCTTCAAAGGTGTTTGCACCATCACAGGGACCCGAGAATGTGCAGCATCAAATTTGGACCTAAACTAAGGTGCTCAGAGTGATTTTACATGTTTTAGGGGTTTGTATCAACTTTCGGTAAGACTACAACCCCAATGATGATATATGTTTCCATCATTTGGCGTGGCATTTAACCGATAGTTGATCTAAACCCCTACAACGTTTAAAATTACACTTAGCGTCTTAACTTGGGTCCAAAAATATAGCAGTTGTAAATTCTCACGTCCCTTTGGGCAACCTTTCTGATGGTACAACGCATACAATGAAATCTATATCCAGTAGTTTTCTGTTACACATTATGCGTTTGTTCAGTATTCCGTTTGGCAGTCCTTCAATAAAAGTCTTCTTTACGGGATGAAACGCCACCATGATTGTCTTTCTGAACATATTCCAGGAGTCTAAAATGCAGTCCTGAAATCTTGACTATTTGTTTTCACAATGCTGGTCTAAAAGGAAAAATAAAGTGCAATAATAATACATTTTGATTTTGAATCAATTTTAAACGATCAAGATAAACATGTACTGATCCATAGCTGCTGTTATGTCTATAAGGAGACGGATTTACATAAGTACTATGTACTTGTTTCTGGATCCTTTTCTGTATTTATAACCATGTACTATTGTAATTAAACATCAATAAAATAAAGTTTAAACTAAACATGGGGGAAAATTTCACATTTTTTATTGACCATGGGTTGATAAACCTAAAAGGCACTAACAGCAAATTATCAAAACAAACTCCATCTGTTGAGACTAGAACGTTTCAAAGGGGTACCACTCTTCAATTGTGAACGGAGGGCATGCATATGGTTGTATTAATAACATTTATAAATGGATACAGTGTGCCAAACACATTACATTTCATTATACAGTTATTTCGTCCTTTTATGCCAGGGGCCATCAAAATGGAATCCAAATTTATCTAAACTCCTATTCCGTCTTGAAGTATTGCAGAGTTATCTTCTCTTGTGAGCAGGTATTGATTGTTACACATTTGTTTGTGAGAGTAACGTCATCAATTTTTGAGAAAAAAGACGTTATTTTCTCACACAAACCAATGACGTAACAATCAATACCTGCTCACAAGAAAAGATAACTCTGCAATACGCAAAGACGGAATTGACACAGAAGAGGAGGTACGGAAAACCCTTTTAAAATTATATGGATTTCAAATTTATATTGAGTAACTTAGTGTGTATATTATGTACCGTGCCATTCATTACTCAGAAAGGCCTGATCAAAGTTACAGCAAACCTCGGGAACTAAGAAATCCATCAGCACACTACTACCTTGTATTTTGAAAAATGAACGTAAGATCGCGCACGCGTGTGGCTGCACTTGAACCACAGAGATCTGCTAATTTGTTACAGCTATATTTAGACCTAAACTAAGATGTTTAGAGTAATTTTACACGTTTGTGGGGTTTAGATCAATTGTCGGTAAAATACCGACTTAAGTTTTAAAGCTGTAACAAATTAGCAGGTCCCTGTGTCTTTAACAGGAGGCACCTAAGCACTGGCGCGTCCTTTTCTTGCTAACATTCAATTTCAGCCTGCAATTTTATTTATTTGTCTTTTTTATTTTTGAAAAATCCAATTTCTATGAATAGACTGGTACCACCTTTAAAGCAGCTAAAATGCCAGCATTTAAAATCGCTCTCCTTTTTGAAATTGAAAAAAAAGTAAATTCGGGTTCGGAGACGGACCAGCTACCCGTTTCTCCGGATCTGTCTGTCCTACGTCATCAGCTGACTCTTACCCGCGCGCTGTAGACACGGATACAGATGGCTCCAGAACCTACACTCATGGCGCCGGAAGTGGGATCCAGTCTTGATTAGGTGACCACAGTCCAAAACAATGTACCGCTCTTCTCCAGCTCGATACTCCGGCCACTCGGACACAGCCACGCCAAGTTCGGGGTTAATCGGATTAGGGTTCCTGCACAAAATATAAAGTTTCGTTAACTTCTCTGCCTAAGGGGGTGGGATGGGGGTTGGGTTAGAGTACTTAAGTTGTAGGTTCTAGCTGGTGTTTCTCTGCTATTAGGTAGTCAAATACGTATACCCTGGCCAAGTTCAAGAGGGACATAAAAACTCCCCTCTTCACGTCTGTAAAGCTATATAAATGTTGTATATTATTATTATTATAAAATTGTTTATTTACCACTCCAAGGTACTGCCACTATATTAAACTACCAAATGATTGGATGGCATTCATGTAGACTGTAAATGTCATGACCCATGTGTTGTCGTCACTATTATTATGACGTCATACTTGCAATGTTATAAACAGCTGACCCTCTCCAAAGCTTTCTGTTCTATGTACTGAACACACACACACGACAAATTAACTAACCCGAAACACGTGCTGAGTTCATCACAGCTTTGAATGCAATTAAATTCGTACGCGCTATGAATTGTTGACTACAAAGGTGTGCCATTCATACAGACTGTGAATGTCATATCAACACAGTTAAACACTTTGATTAGAGATTTGTTTTTGTGAACAAAAACGTGTGTCTCCCCTTTAGCGGCTTAAAAATAACAGTCCGGACAAGATATTCCTGAAAACTTATTTGACTTTTGGCCTCGAGGTCAAGGTCACAGTGACCTAACGACAATGCATTGCACATCGTCTGTCGGTGATACAGATATAATGCAAGTTTTATCAGGATATCGTTAACTTAGCATTTTTTTACCTTATTATTGGAGGACCTGCCTACTGCTGAATTATAAAATAAACAAGTTCTAATTGTAATGGGAACCATTACAGAAGTCCTAAAAACTGACCCCATAATCGCAAATGATGCTTGGATAGAGTACTAAGTTTAAGCAAAATTAGACACCGTGAAGGACCTCGAGGTAAAGGCCACATTGACCTTATGACACTTCATTGCACATCATCTGTAGGTGATGCAGGTATACTGCAAGTTTCATCACAATAACCTCATAACAGTGCATTGCATATCGTCTATGGATGATGCAGGTATACTTCAAATTTCATCAGTACATCTTTAACGGTTTAAAAGTTACGGCAAAGACAAGATCACATTTGAAGAACCAGGAGAACCAGTAATACTATATAATGTCTCCCTTCATTCGAAGGGAGACATAATAACGCAAACACGATAGCCTTCCTATAGTAGAGTAATGCCTACACCCAAATAACATTGCATGTAACACCGTACCTGATCACAACTTTGATTGAGACAACAGCTAAATTTTATCTCTTATTGGGGCAAGAATTTCTAGAAACTTTTAAAAACATTTTCTTCGTTACGTAATCATACGGAAAGCTATACATGTATATGTTTTATTTTAAATTCCATAATATGATATGTATTCATAGTTATATACTGTATAGCTGATAATATTCGCGGGGGATTACATTTTGCCATATTCGTGGTAATTAACGATAGCGTGAAATTAAATACCCAGCGAATATCAATATTTTTGATAAGGCGGTGTTGTGCCAAATTAAACTCCCGTTAATTAGTTCTGATCGGAACAACAACGAAATATCAGCCCTGAGAAATTCAACGACTAATTAACCACAATTATTGTTTACGACACGTGTATATCGATTTGCCTACCCTGTTTTGGCGAATGTTGCCCAATACTCCATCATGCGTTCCGACAGTGTGATCTCGTCGGCTGTGAAGTTCCTACACTGTTTGAGTGGCACTCCGAACACATATTCAATTTCGTCTCCGTGTAGCACACCGGTCCAGAGCGGCCAGGGATTGGACGAGGTTCGGTGTTCGAATGAGTACACGTATACGCCCGGCGTAGGAGGGGGCGTGTCGGTCTCTTGGTGTGATACAGCCGCAGCTACATCCAAAGTGGGGCATTTGAAATAGAAATCTCCGGCTGAAATACGCAACAAATTAGATTCGCATGACAAAATAAAGTGATCGATGGTAATTGATTGAACGAAAGCCCGTTGGTGCAACAGTATAAAAATAGCTAAATGGCCCCCGCCACATATCATACGGTGCCATTGATGGACTTTGACCACAGGGACCTGATAATTTGTTACAGCTATATATGGACCTAAACTGAGGTGTACAGGTTTGAGGGATTTTTACAAACTTTCAGTAAAAATTCCACCCCAAATGATGGTAATGTACGGGTGTTACCATCATTGGGTGGCATTTTACGAAAACCCCTAAAACCAGTAATGTTACTCTGAAAACCTCAATTTAGGTCCAAAAAGCTGTACCAAACCCTTAGGTCTCTACGAGCTTCTCTAAAAAAGATCATTCTTGGATTTGGGATCTAACCATATTGAAAATTGCTCAAGACCACGATCAAAAGAAGCATGACGTCGAATGGTAGAACCATATCTGAATATTTACCATCGTATGCCATTGCCACTTTATAACCCTACAAAATTCAGTTGGCATTCATATAGGCTATGAATGCCATGGACCGATTGTTGACGTCATAATTGTTACGTTGGATACCACTGACCCTCCCTGGGCGATGGTTGTTTTGTTCATTGAAAAAGCATACACGATACATACATTATTTGAACTAAATACTGAATAATAATAAGTGTAATTGAATTTTCTATGAGATTAATAGATTCCAAAAATAGTAAATATAAGTATTGAACTGCTAACGCGCTTCACTGAATTTGCATTTGTCAAGTTGGCATTCATATTGACTATGAATGCCAATTGAAAGCAGTTCAATGCTTAAATTTCTTTGAAATTGTGGAACGGATTAGTACACTTTCTATTTGTTTTCTTTCTTTTCATCTCTTTATTTTGTTCGTTCGCTTGTTTTGCGTTTCCCTCAAACAAAACATCATTTTTAAATTTCTGCTTTGAAGGAAATATCAACATTTGAATATAGCCGTTGGATGATGATATCATTATCCGCAAAGGATTATTTGCGAAATGAGGTACACTTACCTGCCTCATCCAGAAGGTTTACATACGGGGTCTTTCTAGACCGGAAGTCGACGTCATACTCATGCATGATCGATTCGCGTGTCAGGTTATGAAGGCCCAAATCTATAACGCTTGGCAACATATTGACACATTGACCATGGTTGAGCGTGTCCGCGGCGTGGTGAGTGTCCCCGGCAAAGGCGTACTTAAGAAAGTATGAAAATTCGTTTTTATTTACGCCCATCAGCATTGGAACTTTGCCGATGTTCTGAGGAAGTAAAATAGATGGAGTTGCGGTCAAAAAATAGTCGTCGATTGTAGGCCTCAGCATTATGCCGACGATAGTTGAGTTGGCGGGAAGAGTGAATTGCGCCTCAATTAGTTCATCCGAACTTTTACCGCGTAAACATGTGACCATGTTTGTTACGTTACCTCCGTCACAATTCACCACTTTGGCTAACATTCGAGCCGTCGCATTCGCTTCCTCTTTCGAACTGAAAGCCCACGGTGCTAAAGCTGAACCACTTTGCATGATGGCAGATGAAAAATACCCCAAACTTTTCTGTGAAAGTGTGTGATAATGAACACTGGCGGAACCCGCACTTTCACCAAATAGGTTAATCTTGTGTCGATCCCCACCGAACCTTTCAATATTGTCGTACACCCATTTCAGCGCGAGAGTTTGATCCAGCAGTCCCACGTTGCCAGGTGCGTCATCTATCCCGAGATATAGGAATCCCAAAGGACCGAGTCTATAATTCATCGAAACGACAATAACGTTTTGTTTTGCTGCCAGGTATTTTCCATTATATACATCTAATGAGGAACTACCTGAATAAAAACTACCCCCGTAGATCCAAACCATCGTGGCTAGTTTGTCAGGCTTCGATGTTTTCGTTGAAGACGGCATCCAGACATTTAAGTATAGACAATCCTCACTGAGTTCTGTGTTCGGGTTCCACATCGCCTCCCCTGGGTTTCCTGGAAATACATTGGAAGGTATTTGTGGACAGGAAGCGGAAGGAGATTTAGCTTGAACAGTTTCCGTCCAACTTGCGACCGCCACTGGTCGTTTGAAGCGAAGAGCGCCGATAGGTGGAGCCGCGAATGGTATTCCAAGGAAGGTTTGTACTTCCGTTCCATCAATATTTTCAGTAAATCCACGAACTTTTCCGTTCAATGTTCCCACTTCCGGGGAATTATCTTGTTCCTCCGATGAACTTTCTTGTACTCCTGGTACAGCGAACTCACTGCTGCTGACTTCCTTTTCCGGTTCTACCAGTACTGATGTCGACGATAACGAGGCGAATGCAAGAAGACTACAGACCAGCACAAAAATGGCCATGGTATCTGGAAAACGAAAAATAAAGGCTGAATTTTATCATATTTTTTTTTTTTTTTTTAGATTTTATAGTGAAAATTCTTTAGATAAAATCGTTCCGATGATTTTTTGAATTCCCTTCGGTCAGTGGCCTCGCTTTCATCAGGGACGAAGTGGTCACAGACTGTACTCTGGCCAGCTACTCTAAAATTCGGACGCAACTGGACCTGTCATTACCAACAAGCTTACTGGTGAACTCGTCTCCAACTTAAAGGAATCTCGCCTGTGATAACACATACTTATCATTGAATGAATTTGGGCGGTCTCCATTGTAAACAACCTTTATAATGTGTTAACAATTTATGTTTGTGTCAAAGGAACTTCTATCGGATAAATCGACTAAGTCATGATTATGGCTTTTAAAATGAATAAAATTAAACATACTTTAGCAAGATTACATACTTATACCTAGATTTCTGCTTACACAGTAGGGCAATATTAACGCTCGAAGTTAATTTTTTGATCTCCCATTGTGTCCCAGGTATGCTAATTTTCTCTATATCGCAATAACTGATTAAGGATTAGTTTGTACACTTTGTCAAGTATCCATTAAAGTGACCTTACTTAAATGACCTGATTGGCCTCTATAAGTAAGCAGCTTATATAAGACCCTGGCATGCACTGTTTTACACTATAGTATATATGTAACCCTGGTAAATACTAGCCGCAATATCTCGCTCGGCTATAGAGAACTTCTCTTTAGCTCGATCGATTGAGCGTTAGACTAGTAAGCCAGAGGTCCCGGGTTCGATCCCATGCGGAGGTAGTGATTTATATTTAATTAATCATGCGCTCTGTTACATATATATAACAATACAGACCCGACCCTGTGACTCAACTCGTTAATTACTAATAGCACATGTACTATTGCAGTGATTATCAAACTTATGCCAAGTTTCATTACTTTAAAAAAAAAAATCAAATTATGGAGAGAAAAAACGTATTTAATTTAACATTTGAGAGCTATTATTTTATATCCAAGAACAAGGATATGTTTAAATTTTAAATTTAATATATGTGAAAATTATCCTCTGTAACAATGTTGCCATGTTGTGCTACTAAGATTTAAAATATGATAGACTTTAGTCCCCACCGCTGGAGAAGTAGGTCACTCTGATTGTAGCTGTTAATTATCTTATTATATTATGTAATTTGAAACTGACTACTAACTTGTTATTGGTAAACAAAAACATATGTCTCCACTTTGTTACATTATATTTTCTTCTGAAATTCCCTTCATGGTCTTAACCAACCCCTGATTTATTTGGGGGGTTTTTTGAAAGGGAGTAGGGGAAAGGGATTTCCAGTTTTATACAATATGATTTATATATATTATAGAATATCAATGATAAAACTGATGGTTCGATTTACTATTCTTGTGAAGTTACAAAAGTGGCAAGTGTTTCCCCCCAAATTTTTGCGTTCCCCGCAATTCAAATGTATGCCCCCNCGGTAATATAAACTAGCATCATCATTTCACGATTTTCATTACCTTATGGTTTAAATTAATAAAATATGGTTATTATAATAATGTATTATGTATCATACTCACCAATATTTTTCAGTAAAGTTGAATCCAAACTTATCCCAGCAAAGCTTCGCCTTCACTTGAAGAGGCCGTTACCGCCTATTTCAACCAACAGCTGCAATCTGACACACATCCGGGTATTGCTACGAATACCCCCTCGCGCTAGTGAGTTATCATGCATGTTTGAAGGTCACACATATATTCAATTTCTCAACTGCTGGACCTTTTTACGGATAATTTAAACCTATTTCATGCACACACAAAAATAGCACATTATGGAACCATATTCTTACTAAAGGGTGCTCTATATATAGCATTAATGTGTATCATCCCTATCTATACTTGAAAATATTAAAAGTCGATTGCAGCTATAGTGTCAATTCTAGTTTTAAGGTTAACGGTTACACCGCATTAGTTAAACACACGAAGAAGAGTTCCACTGAAGTTTTTTTTTTACATAGAGTCCTCTCCCTTCTATAACCAAAATGAGTTTTTCTGGCTTAGATAAGCTTCCCCATGTCAATTTTATATGCTTTTCGGCCTATAATTTGGACACTTATTTATTGTTTTGACTTTATATTTCCTGCATGATAACATTGATAAAGTGTTGGCTTTATTACGTGAAGGTATCGAGTGGTGTTTTTTTTGCCTATTTTCAAGCATTCAGATGTCGAAGAATTGCAATTCTGCAAAATGCAGGACAACATACGATTTTGGTGGAATATTTCTTATGAAAAGAACTGATACAAATATTACACTATACTGACAATGGTAGTAATGTAGTTAACTGTGTTGGTATAGTTTACCTTCAGTCAAAAGAGAGTAGAAAAATAAACTTCGTGAAACATAGCCATGCAATGTCAATATATATTTGTCTGGAACCCGTACGCATGGGATCAAAGCCCGTTTATTACGAACGAAAATTCTGTTCCCATTGCACGGGGTTCGGTTTAAACAGAATCTATCATTATTCCTCAATATAGAGGTTGTTCATTAAATATTTTAATGCGTGTTTTATTTTCAAAGACTGTCAAGTAATTCCTTAAGTGAAAATAAAGTGTCACAAGTCTTTTAAAAAATATTTTCGGTGGATATTCTCGAAACTAACCAGAGTAGCGGGAGACGGCACCCGCCTGTGAACGCGTCGACAGACCAGAATGTAATGGTTGATTATAGATAGTGAACACGTAATCACAGACAGATGATGAAAACAACTGTGATTTAACATGGTTTCATCAAAACATTGGAAAGTATGAAGATATACACAACGTAAGATGTACGGTATATGTATATACATTTAGCAAGATAAGAATCAAGCCCCTTCAGGTTGTGCAGAATAAATCTATATTTTTGTTGAGGTGCCAACAAAAATCTAGAATTAGAAATTTGTACATCTATCAAGGTCACATAGCACAAATATTACATATCTTTATTTCATCTTTCAACTTTGTAAACAAAAAATCAAAAACAAAAACACATATTATAAGCTATACCGTCGTAAGCAACGAGTTTCTGACCTAATATTCAAAATATGTAAAAATGGTATAAAAAAGGGTTTGCGGTTTAATTAAATCCAGACGTCGTGGTTTTGTGTACATTTTGTATTACATATTTTGATTACTCAGTCTCCGGTAATCCAGGCAGAACATTGAAAGTCTGGACTCAAGCGTTAATCGCGCTACTCCGGAGTCGGATGATCCATGAGTCAACCAAATAATCCGGACTTTGATGATCCAGGCGTGTCCCGATAATCCGGACTTTGATAATACAGGAGGGACTTCGGTATTTGTTACATTGGGAATCCAGACGAAACCTCTGTAATCTGGATTCTTCTAATTCAGGGGGAACATCTATAATACTGACTCTTCTAATTCAGGCAGAAGCTCGGTAATCCGGACTCTTCTAATTCAGACAGAACCTCGGTAATCCGGACTCTTCTCATTCAGGCAGAACCTCGGTAATCCTGACTCTTCTAATTTAGTCAGAACCTCGGTAATCCGGACTCTTCTTATTCAGGCAGAACCTCGGTAATCCGGACTCTTCTAATTCAGACAGAACCTCGGTAATCCGGACTCTTCTAATTCAGATTGAACCTCAGTAACCCGGGCTCTTCTTATTCAGACGGAACCACGGTAATCCTGACTCTTCTCATTCAGGCAGAACCTCGGTAATCCGAACTCTTCTTATTCAGACAGAACCTCGGTAATCCGGACTCTTCTAATTCAGACAGAACCTCGGTAATCCGGACTCTTCTCATTCAGATTGAACCTCAGTAACCCGGGCTCTTCATATTCAGGCGGAACCTCGGTAATCCTGACTCTTCTTATTCAGGCGGAACCTTGGTAATCCTGACTCTTCTCATTCAGATTGAACCTCAGTAACCCGGGCTCTTATTATTCAGGCGGAACCTCGGTAATCCGGACTCTTCTTATTCAGACGGAACCTCTGTAATCCTGACTCTTCTTATTCAGACGGAACCTCGGTAATCCGGACTCTTCTAATTCAGGCAGAACCTCGGTAATCCGGACTCGTCTAATTCATGCGGGACCTCGGTATTCCAGACTCTGAAAACACCGCTGTAAGAAGGACTACATATTATACAGAAATAGTGCAGTCTTTGTATTCCCGATACTGACAACATCATTCCAACCCTTAATTGTCCGTATGTGAAAGAAATGTATGATTTGGTCTCGGATCATTATCAAGACTACGATTTCTTTCCCTGACACTTCTTCGTCAAGCATACTGCGCCATATAACCGGAAAATTCGTTCAGGATTCGTTTACATCACTAGCAATAATTGGTTGAAGGGATTTTGACAATGTTTATAATAAAAAACGATCGGGGCCCAGCTAGAAGCCACGTACGCCGGTTCCCTCAGCTAAGAACATTTCATGCTATTTTTCAGTTTGATTCAAAGTTTAAATTGACATACTTTTCCTGTAATTGGCTGATACGTTAACGGATTCTCGATTCTGGTAAATCAATTCACAAATGTAGCATCGTCCGAATTTCCATCTCGTTTTCCTTGCCTAGGGAGGTGATTTTGATTCTGAAATGGTTACCATAGTCCAGCCTCAAAATGGCGTGACAAATTACGACCCCTTACTTATTTCATATAACAAAAGAAACAAGGTATTCGATTCAGGCCCAGCAGGCCTCTTGTCATGTCATCATTTCATGTCTGGTTTATGTACATGTCACGGTCGATTGCACTCCTGACATTAGGGTTACCCCAAGGCAAAGGGAGGTAATGACGGTCACGTGATTTCCCACAGGTAAATTCCAAGATGGTGGACACATAGCGATAGAGTGCGTGCTTTCGGAGGAGTGTGCAGGTTTTCCGTAAGTCATGTTTGAAGACTTAATATGTAACTTCTCATGGGTTTCTGTGTTTGAGGCACATTGTTTGTGCTTTCATTTGAATGATTTATTTTGTCCGTTGCAAAGAAAGCTGCAGTTTGTGCAGAATATGTGTCCGTCACAATTCAGACACGTCACCAATAGTGCGGTGACGTTTCTAGTTTTTACATCACAATATTGACATTTATCTTCATGTTTACGAAAATGCATAATATACAACAAAATACTGACAGCTATCTTTATTTTGCAAACTTGGTGTCGTGATATAAGAACGCTTCTTCTCGTCATTTTGTTCTAATGTTTCGACTAGGAACCACAAGGCATTGTTGACAATTGGCTATTACTTGCTCAGTGTGCAGACTGCACATATGCAAAGCTGATATTCTGCTTTGCATATGTGCAGTCTGCACGCTGAAAAAGTTTTCAGACTACATTTTTCAAAATTAGACACTAAATTTCTAATGAAACAACAATTGGTTCAATCATAAGGCTTTGTTGACATTATGGTTTATTTTTTTATTCAAATTATTGTCTAAAAATATCTATTCATTTAAAAGCATACATGTAGAGGTCTAGCAAAATGTCGCTCTTCCTTGCCTCACATCACCGGGTACATATCAGATTCCTTATAAAATAGCAGAACAATGGTTATTAATACTGTTTAGAGATTCAGCATCGTGTGTACTCAAACATTGTTAAACCGTTTACAGGACAAGATACTTTTTACAAGCAACTAGCCTTAGTTTCCTCTGGCCCTCACACCAGAGCCAGAGCGCGCTATATGAAAACGTGAAATTCTCCGACACGGTACGTTTGATTTTGGAGAGTTAACTCATTCACCCCTGAAATTTCATAATGGACTATTTCAACCTTTGAATTGGAAGAGTTGAAATTCAACTTCAGGGGTGAATGAGTTAATATGATTTTTCAAAATGTGTAAGTCTGGTGTTAGGGCCAGAGGAAGCTCAGACTAACAAGCAAGTGGGCACAATCAGAGGGGATATTCACGTATTACCGGACATCACATATTACCGGACACTCCCGAATAAAATTAAATTGTGTACAGTTGTCTGATCTCTTTCAATTTATTCAGGAATACAATAAAGCGTTTTTCAAACAACGATTACCTTTAGGAACGCACTCAGATGCCAATTTTAGAACAACAGCGATACTAAAACTTACAGAAATGACGGAAAGTTTCCGGATTTTTATCATCACGTGATCTGAAATGTTTGCTGCAGGGGCCATTTCAAGGTGACTGGAAGATTTGGGACTTGTGAATATAAGGGGCCACTAATATAAGTTATGTTTATTAATAGCTACACCATTTAAAGATATAATATTGTCTATACTTTAATATACATACATTTATCGAAAATAATGAGGAAATGCCTAATAAATGCAAAAATCTCACTGCCCGGTAATACAATGGTCATTGTTACTGGTAGTCGCATTATACCGGACAGTGGAAAAACTAAGCTTGTCATCAAGTTGCAGTCTTTATTTCTTTTTCTCTCTATGTGTAGAATTTTATATTCCTGTAAATAGAGTAAAGTAAGAAATATTGAAAAAAATATGTTTCAGTATTTCCTTGATCATAAAAACCAATAGACAATCTGACATTGATCTATAGTATAGACGTATCAACACATAATTTCTTAAGCGGATCCGCACTAAGTATATGCTTATGAGTATAGACATGTATATCCATGGATATTTTCTCATGGTGTTAATTTTCAAATATATCGATTCATTTCGGTATTCCGTAAGGCTTTAT